CCTTTCAGGAGCTGCACAGAGCGATGGGGGCACCCCTGAGTCTCCTTTTCTCCAGACAGGGCTGGAAGCCCAGGGATCCTCTGGTGATGACCACATTGGCAAGTTGGTGTGATGACGTGAAGATGCACCCAAAAAAACCAACTCCCACGTGAAATCAGTCGGGTCTGTGCCCCACAACACAGGAAAAGCAGACAGGAAGCCCTGGAGATGTCACTCAATCACATCTATTTATAGGTGGCCACTCGTTTTGATTCACATCAGACAAGAACCAACAGGAACTGGTTTGATTTCATAATTTCCCAGAACAGCACTTGATGCAAATCCAGACCAGTTCCTGAGAGCTGGGGGTTGTACTGGTGAAACTGGAGGCAGCACTGGAAGGTTCAGCATCCTGTTAGGACCATGTTTTTTATCTCCTTGTCCTGGCAGCAATAATCCCACACTCCACAAATAATCCCTGCTAACACAGCCACAATGGGGTGGTTGGGACAGTCTGGAGGGGAGCAGGGACCTGCATTTAATGCCAGAATAAATGCACTTTGTTCTGGTGCTGTTTGCTGCAGAGGTGATGGTACAGCCAGGAACCTCCTGCCTGTCCCCAGCCCTTCCCTGCATTTCATTCTCTTGTTTCTGATTTGTGGTTGAAGATAAGGAAAAGCTGGAAAACACCTGCAGTGTCCAAGTTGGTTTTGCAGATTGTTCATCCCAGGACTGGCTGGGACTGTGCAAGAGGAGGAAATGAGGAGCTGATTCCTAGGATTTTTTTTGTTTTTTAAATCTTAAAAAATTTAACCCTAGGAGGATTCCTAGGGTTTTGTTTGTTTTTTAAATCTTAAAAATTTTAATCTTAAAAAAATACTATTTTTTTAATCTTAAACAGAAAACGTGCAATAACTTTGATTTAAATTGAAATAACTTTGATTTGACTTGCAATAACTTTGATTCAACTTGAAATAGCTTTGATTCAATGCAATGTTCCATAGTTCAAAGAAAAAACCTGGAAGACTTCACTTTGCCTTGACCTGGCTGCATTCTTTTAATTACTAATGTTTAATTCTTTATGCACTCCATGGCAGCTCTTCCCAACATTTAGGAGCACTCTCATTCCTGGCTGGAGCTGCTGTTCTGCCCTCCCTGCTGGCCGCTAATTAAAGCCAAAGCTGCTCAGCTCTTGATTAACACTTGAGCTGTGTGGGAGTTTGTGAGAGCCTGTCTGTGTTTGTGCTCACAAACACGGGCTGGGTGCAGATAACGATCTGCTCCCCTGCTCAGGGAGCTCACTGACTCACAGCTGCCTGAAATGGGTGAGTTTACAGTAAATCTGCAGGAAAACCTCCCTCATTCCCACCGAGGACCCGCTCTGCTCCTGCTGCCCTTGAACAAGCTGAGTCCTCAGTGCCCCAGCGCTGCCTGATGCAGAAATGCTCCAGAAAAAATCACCAAGGGTGGAAAAGACCTCCAACCTGTTAAAAATGCATGTATTTTATGATTGGCTGTTCGCAAATATTCAAATGAATATTATATGTGTTGTGTTAGAAAGTAATGCTGTAGTAATTCTCTTAAGTAGTGTGTTAAATATAGTTTTAGGTTACAAAAATTGTTAAAATAGAAACAATGCTTTGTAAGATACTCTCTTTAAAGAAAGGACTCGCAGCGAGATAGCAGCCACAGGACACCTGAATCTTTCAGAGAAAAAGAATTTATTGCCCCATTATCAGGAGAAATGAACTTCTTCCCACCTCAAAGGCGCTGCTGGGATTCAGAGGAAGAAGTTGATGATGACCAGACAGAATCCTGTGTTTGAATGGAATTTATGCATCATGTATGAAGTGCATGAATATGCAACAGGCTGTTGTTTTTAAGGGTTAATCCTTTGTTAACTGTGTTCTTTTTTGGTCTCGTGCTGCCCAGAAAAAGGTACCCGAAGTGTTGGTAACTCTTTGTCTTTATTGTCTCATATTGTCCTAATTCAGTTTGTCCAAATTGTTATTACTCTATTTGTGTTAGTATTTTTATAACCATTTTATTACTATTAAACTTCAAGTGATTGGCGTTTTTCACACCCAGCGCTGCCTGATGCAGAAATGCTCCAGAAAAAATTACTAAGGGTGGAAAAGACCTCCAACCTTTGACCCAACACCCAAAATCCAGCACTGAGTGCCATGTCCAGCTGTTTATTGAACATTTCCAAGGTGTTGCACTGCTTCCCAGGGCAGACTGTTCCAGTGCTTGACACCTTTTCCATCAAGAAATCCTCCCTGATATCCTCCTCACCTTCTGAAGTGAAATGTGGGAGCCATTTGGCCCCAGGGACGAACCCCAGTCCTTTTCAGGAGGAAAAATATTGAATTCCTCAACACTGGCAAGGCCCATGGAGGGACCTGGCCATGTGAGAAGGCTCCTGGCAGTGGCAGGACCAGGGAAGAGCTGGTCCTGGGGAGCTCAGTGTTCCTCTACCCCTTCTAAATCCTTTTCCAGATACCTCATGTCCCTCTACCCCCTTCTAAATCCTTTTTCAGAGACTTCATGTCCCTCTACCCCTTTCT